CTCTCTCTCTCTCTCTCTCTCTCTCTCTCTCTCTCGCTCTCTCTCTCTGTCTCTACGCGCGATGGAAGCAGGCGTCATTTTTATGTTTTCTGTGTCTTCAAGCAAAAAAGCAAGACATCCCAAAAGAAAACACTTAGGGGTGTCCCTTTTGCTCGCTTGAAGACACAGAAAGCGATTAAAGGGACTCTGCTCTGCGTCTTCAAGGGAGAAAAACGACACCCCCCAAGAAGGAAAAAACACATAAGAGATAGGGAGGGGAATTGAAGAGCTCCTCTCTTTACTTATTCTTTCCCTTTCCTCTCTTCCTATCGGTTCTTGTTCTTATTCGCTTCAAAGAGCAAAATTTCGGAAGGGAGGACTATCTGTGAAGAGCAAGAATGGTTTGTTCTCATTCAAAAGGGACAGGGGAGAGATGATAGATATAGAACAATGAAATCTTCTTCGCGCCTTGTTTTGTCCGTCCCTCTCCTTGCTTACTGTCTCTTCTATTCCTTGCAGTACGCTTCCAGAAAAAAGGCATCCTTGTGATCTCTCCCTTCTCACTTCCCTTTCCCGTGCAACAGTGACTCATTTCAGGGCCTGAGATGAGTCACGGCTCCGTGCCCCCTCGACGAGAGCACTGACTAATTTCAGGGCCTGAAATGAGTCACGGCTCCGTGCCCCCTCAACGAAAGCAGTGATTAATTTCAGGGCCTGAGATGAGTCACGGCTCCGTGCCCCCTCAACACAAACAGCGGCTCGCTTCAGGGCCTGAAATGAGTCACGGCTCCGTGCCCCCTCAAACACTTTAAATTCCTTAAAATCCAGAAAAATCAAATTTCCCAGATTTCAAAATCCCTCCTCCTGGGAGATTACAAATTTTAGGCCCTGCGCGTGACTCATTTCAAGGACCTATCTCTTCTGTTCCTTTCCTTACCCTTCTTTTTTTTTCATAATTCATCCTTTTTGTTGTCCTTATTTCGAAAAGAAAAGGGAAGAGAGAGATAAGGGAGAGAGGATCGATAAAGAAGAGTCTTCTCTTCTCTGTGCCTTGTTTTGTCTTTCCTTCTCCTTTGTTCATCTCTCTTCTATTCTTGTCTTTGCTCTTCCCGTTAAAAATGCAATCCTGTCTATCTCTCCTCCTCCTTCTCTCTCCGTCTTCTTCAACGACAAAAAACACAAGAAAAAAACAGAGGGTAATGGAGGCCCTTTTCATTTCTAATCCTTTTTCAATGGTTGGGGAAAGCTTGCCCGTGGCCCTCTCCATGCTTCAGCGTATCCCTCCTCTCGCCCTATCTCCTCGGTTCTTTTCATTGTTCCCAAACGGAAAAAGAAAGCGAGTTCCTTTCATTTCCATTGTTCGTCCTTTGGGTTTTTATTTCAAAGGGAAGCGAACAAGAGAGAAGACAGACAAGAAAGAGAGGAAAGATGAAGACAAGTACATCTTCTCTTTGCCACGGGCGATGGAACGGGTGTCCCTTTGGATCGTTTTCTGCGTCTTCAAGCGAGAACACAGGACGCCCCCGAACAAAAACACACTCTCTCTGTCTCTATCCCTGTCGCTATCTGTCTTTCTTTCGTTCTTTCTGTAGCTTTCTCTCTTTCCCTGTCCCTATCTCTATCTTTCACTCATTCTCAGTCTCTCTCTCTCTCTCTCTCTCTCTCTCTCTCTCTCTCTCTCTCTCTCTCTCTCTCTCTCTCTCTCTCTCTCTCTCTCTCTCTCTCTCTCTCTCTCTCTCTCTCTCTCTCTCTCTCTCTCTTTCTCTCTGTCTCTACGCGCGATGGAAGCAGGCGTCCTTTTTACGTTTTCTGTGTCTTCAAGCAAAAAAGCAAGACATCCCAAAAGAAAACACCTAGGGGTGTCCCTTTTGCTCGTTGAAGACACAGAAAGCGATTAAAGGGACACCATCTTGGACTGGCAGCAAACCCGGCTGATGCTCATGATATCTCACTCTATATATAGGGGCGATGGAACGGGTGTCCTTTTCAATCGTTTTCTGCATCTTCAAGGGAGAAAAGACGCCACCCCCCCCCCCCCCCCCCCCCAAGAAGGAAAAAACACATAAGAGATAGGGAGGGGAATTGAAGAGCTCCTCTCTTTACTTATTCTTTCCCTTTCCTCTCTTCCTATCTGTTCTTGTTCTTGTTCGCTTCAAAGAGTAAAATAAGGGAAAGGAGGTTTCCTAAAGAGCAGGGAGGACTCCTATCTGTGAAGAGCAAGAAAGGTTTTTGTCATTCAAAAGGGACAGGGGAGAGATGACATATATAGAGGAATGCCATCTTCTTTGCGCCTTGTTTTGTCCGTCCCTCTCCTTGCTTCCTGTCTCTTCTATTCCTTGCAGTGCGCTTCCAGAAAGAAGGCATCCTTGTGATCTCTCCTCTCTCACTTCCCTTTCCCTTCTCTCCATCTATTACTTGTTAACTGATTAACAAGACACAAGAAAGGAACTTGTATGATAAAGCAGGGGAAGGGTAAGCAGAGGGTGACTCCTTGCGCGTGGACCTTGCCGTACTTCATCATATCCCTCTTCTCGGCCTATCTCTTCTGTTCCTTTCCTTACCCTTCTCCGTTTTTCATAATTCTTCCTTTTTGTTTTCCTTATTTCAATCGGCTCGAATAGAAGAAGGAACAGATGACATCGGAACACGAGAAAGAAGGCAACAGAGGGAGAATAATTGGACGCAAGCCTGCTCTAGGGTGAGGCTCTGGGGGAGAGAGAGAGAGGGAGAGAGGAGAGAGAAGTGAGAAGTGAGAAGAGAGAAGAGAGAAGAGAGAAGAGAGAAGACGAGAAGACGAGAAGACGAGAAGACGAGAAGACGAGAAGACGAGAAGACGAGAAGACGAGAAGACGAGAAGACGAGAAGACGAGAAGACGAGAAGACGAGAAGACGAGAAGACGAGAAGACGAGAAGACGAGAAGACGAGAAGAGAGAAGAGAAAAGAGCAGAGAAAAAACGAAGGATGAAGGTAGGAGATGGTTTTTCCTTGCGAAGTCATGTTTCTACTCTGCAAGAAGAGATCTGAACAGATCGAGATGACAGGCGAGGGAGTGTCTTCTCCTTCCCTTTATTTATCCGTTGTTTCTCCAGAAGAAAACAGAGAGAAGCATTCTTGTCCATTCCTTGTTGTTTGCCTCCTACTGTGTCTGCCTCTCTCACTGACTGAGAAAAGACAAGATCAAGGACAGCGAAAGGACAGGGAAACCTTTTTCGCCTTCTTTATATATCCCTCTGAATCTCCTGAAAAAAAGGAACAGAAGACATAGGAACACACGAGAGAAAGACGGCAAATGAGAGCGAATACTGGATTTCAACCCTGCTCTAGGAGGAGAAGGAGCCCCCTTCTGCAACGGACAAAACCATGTTTTCTTCCCTCTCTCGTCTAGTCAATTTGCTTCTCTTTCCCTTGGTTTTTGTCAATAAGAGAAGAGAGAAGCACTCTTGTCAGTTCCTTGCACTTGTCTTTCTGTTGTCTGTTCCTCTCTTCTTATATGAAGTTCTTCTCCTCTGCAAGAAAAGAGGTAAAGCAGAGAATCAGAGAGGAGAGGGAGTCTCTTCCCAGTCTTATGTACCCAGTCTTCTCAATAAGAAAAGAGAGAGAGAGAAGCACTCGTGTCCCTTCCTCTCTCGCAGTCTGCAGACTGAGAAAGACAAGATTAAGGACAGCGAAAGTGGACAGGGAAACCTTGCTTGTCCTCTTTAGCACTTCCTTTGAATATCCTACAATCAAAGAATTGAAGACATAGGAATGCAGGAGAAAAAGAAAACGAAACAGGTGGTGTAAGGGAATTCAGCCCTGCTCCAGGGGAGGAGGCCCCTTCTTGCAACGAACATGGCGATTTTGCGAAACGCTGAAACCTAAGCATGAAATTTCAAGTAACAATAGTCAGTAGTCACTGTGGTTAGAGGGTTTAAGGTCCAGGGTTTAGGGAGCAGGGTTCGCCCAAACCATAGGAACAGTACCACAAAGAAAGAGGTCAAATCATACATAAAGGTTCCTGCCACATATATATATACAGATACCACACAAGAGACAAGCGCGTGGACGAAAATCACGAGCAAACAACTGAGCATGCGAAATCAATGAACAAAGACGAGGAAAAAGCGCCCCTGAACACAAGATGTCGCATGCATGTCCTATTTTCTTGCTGAGTCACTCTGGGGTTTCTCCTATATTCTTGCTGAATCACTTAGGAGTTTAGGCTCAAGAGGTTTTAAGATTTTGAGCATTGGGCAGGGGCAGCCGGCGACGCGGTGTTCACAGCGCGGGTGGGCACAGTCTACGGGTTGGAGTGTCACTTCTGGACAAAATGGTCCCTTTTGGAGTCCTCATTAGAAGGCGGCCCCAAATAGGTAGGGTAGCCCAAACAGGGACCATAGTTTTGAGAACTGACCATAAGAGTTCCAGGGTTTGGGTTTTTGCGGTTCAGAGTTGAGGCAGTCAGACACAGGTGGAGGCACAAGGCTTTGACTCAGAAAATGCAGAATACGACATGGAACAGCACTGAACAACTTTTCGGCATCCGTGTTCGTATGTGTGTACCTGAAATGCAGTTTCTATAGCCTGAATCGGTTCGTCTTGCAAAGGCCTATGACACGTTGCAGCACATGGGCAAGCCGCATCTGCCTTTCAAAACGGGTTTAGGGGTGAGGGCTGTTCATGCACCTGGCTACCAAACAGTTACGAAGCAGCTACCCTGGCAAGGAGCCTCCCCCACGGGTTTGGGGGGATTCAAAGCACATCTTAGTCACACCATAGGGCTACCGAAACACTTCTTGCGAGTGCTGGCCCGGAAGCCTTCAAAGCGGATCCCAGGTGGCTAAAAGTTGTGTTTCAAGGTGTTCAAGCTGCCATCTCCACACGCAGAGGTACTTATATGTGCTGTGCGCCTGAGACTCTCAGAGCTTGCTTTCCTCGTGCTTCCTGAGGTTACGCACCTGAATGCTGAACCCGTGATCGGGACTAAGCCCTCCCAGCAGCCCTGGAGAAGCCCGAAAAACCTTAGCCACCACCGAGGTTCATGCCATCAGAAGGGTCGATGGCGCAGGAGAGGAAGCATTCACCCGGAGCCGTGCTGCAAATCGGCCTGGCAGTGGGAAACCCTCAGCCCTGCACATCAAACCCTAAACCCTAAACCCTAAAGCCCCTGAAGCTACAAGCCCCAAAAGGAGCTTCGGGTTTTGGGTGAAGCGAAGAGTTCGGAACGAGGATTCGATGCTGTAGGATTGTAGGGTTCGAGGAAGCATAACACACCCCGATCTTTGCAAAGAAGACTCAAGAGGCCCGAAACTTGGGACAAATAAATATGGCTCTACAAGTCCTGAGTTTAATGGGCTAGGGGCACTAAGTAAGCGGCCCTAAATCTGGAGCTTGAGGTGAGATGTTGGCCTTGAGCCCGATGCTTGCATGGAGAGCTTAACTTCTCCCCAGCCTCTAACCCAATCAGCCCGACGACGAAAGCCACTCGCCTGCTAAGAGATAAGAAAAAAACAATGATGACTTCCTCTTTGAAACCCCTAATACTCAAGCCCCCAAAAAACAAAACCCTATCAACCCCTCTACACCCGTAACACCGCCAACAGCCAAGCGTCGTGTAAAGACCTGTCGTGACATTCAGGCCCTGGGCAGGGAAACAAAGGGAGGAAAGGAAGGACGCCTGGGTAATAGGGTTTACATGTAGTGGTAGAACTGCTATACAACTCAGTATCCCTAGCAATGGGCCAGTTCCGGTGGCCAAACCTTCACCAACAACAGGCACCCTCACACTGCGAATACGAGAGGCTCCCTGAGGTAGCAAGTCTACCCCAGCCACCCAAGGAGCTGCTTCCCCCTAAGTCCTAGACCCGCTTGGGTTGGGTTGCGGCCTAGCTCGGGATTTCGGAAGTTCTTTCTTAATGGCTGATGTACTGTTTGTGTTTTGCCTTCGCCCCGTCGTTCTTTCTTGCTTGCTTTCTTCATGCAACCATTTCCTTCTCTGTCCAGCAGCCCTATCCCTCTCTTGGCTTTGCCCCCTTCCTTCCCGACTGTCGAATGCTTTGCATTCCTTCTTTCTGTGCCTTTTGGATCTCGCTTCAGAGCTTCTGGGTACCTTTCGAGGGCTTTGACACTCGAAGCAGCTCCTGCACAACGACGCAACGAAGCCTCACAGCTTCACACCCCTAAGCTCTCCGACACCCGTAAAAACATCAACGCCCAAGTCACCTGGATGGTCGACACGCAGCTCGCACTGTTTGTCGCACTTGTGCTGACAATCTGTAGAGGCACACCTTCGGGTCGTGGGATGTTGTTTCCAACTTTCAGGATAAGCTCGAGTCCGTGCCCCGCAAGTGTGCTTGGCGTTGTCGAGGGCTTTAGGGGTCCCGCAACCCGAAACCAAACCCCGAAACCACTCCCTAAACACTGACAAATATCTACGCAAACATCCTAAATCCACACATCTAGGTCCATCCGTGCAGTCAAAGGGGGTGCTGAAGCAGGGTGCCAGGGTTGTGGTGGTGGTGGTATTCCCCACCGGGAAAGGACCTCGGCTTTTGTGGGCGTTAGGTCTTCGGGGCAGGAAGAAGGTTGAGAGGTTGAGGGTTTAGGGTGAAGCGCTAGATGGTGGAAGGTTCATGTTTAGCGCGTAGGCTTGATCGCTTAGGTTCCAGGCTGGCAGACTTTTGTCATGCAGGCATCCCACTGCTGCTGGTGAGACAAAGGCTTGATGGTTGCGCCCTTCCTACAGCCCATCATCTAAAGCCCTCGAAACTTCAAACCTGATTCTGAGTTGCCATGCTAGGGGAAAAGGTGCGCTGTATATGGGGCCAAAGGCGACCCTGCATGATAAACCAGTCAGCCCGAAGCCTGACTGGGCGGGGGGGAAGCCCAAGAGCGGCCCAGGTCTTCATGACCCTTCAGCCAAATCGGGGGAGTGCTCAGGGCTGAGTTCTTGATTCTGCCCTCTGCAATTCTGCGTTCTCATGCCTTTGCCTCATTGCCCCAGTACTGGCTTGGTCTCATTTCCTACGATTTCCTGAAGAGCCCAAAAAACACACAGTAAAGGTCCCTATATTGGTCTTTTTGTTTTTTTTTGGGGGGGGGGCGTCTTAAGCAAACAGTAGTGTAGTTTTTGGGCAAGCGGACGTCAAGGCGAAAAAGAAGCCGAGTTTGGGTACCCTTACGTAGGGCTTACCCTGCCTACATGGGCCAAGAAAGAGAGCCTTGCGACTCGGAGGCCCGGTCGGCAGACGGGAAAAACAGGGTTGAGGGTGTTGGCATATGAGGGCCCTGGGGATTTTTTAAGGCGCCATCTGTCTGTTGCCGAGGCACTGCTCACGTTCAGGCAGTTCAAGCCATCCTCGGAGTTCGACCGCCGGTCCTGAGTTGAAGATTTCTGTGGGAACCCAGAGAAGCTCCGGCTGACAAGGCCTGTCCCGAACCTTCAAAGTCCTCAAGTCTCAGGGTGATCTAGAGACTGGGCTTCTGGCTGCTCGGGGGTTTAGGGCTGTTGGGGTTCAGACAAAGAGTAGTGCTGACCAAATTCGGCCCAACCCTAAGCCCTAGCTCCGGAGGCTTCAGGGCCCTTACTCGTAATGTCAGAGCCTTGCAACTGACAGTACCACACCCCTTTGGCCGCTTCATTGGGTACAAACAACAACACGCAGTTGCGTCATGGCAAACCTTGAGGTCTCGGGGTCTCGCGCGGGCGCAGATCTCGGAGTCCCTGAAACGACCCAAGCCTCGGAGCCTTCTGAGCACGTGAAGGCTAAGACGCCTCTCAGCCCTAACAGCCGTCCGAACGGCGTCCAAGGGGAAGATCGGGACGGCGGGTATCTCCGAGTTCGTGACGTTGGCTCCTGGTACCCGGGATCTCGCTTTGGAACCCCCGACAAGCATGACTCCAAATGCGGGCTCAGGCTTTCACTTAGGATTTACGTCTCACGGTTCAGCGGAACCAGGCGAAAGCTCGCATCTGCTGAAAGAGTCGAGCTAGCCTTGAACCTACATGAAACTCTCTCTGGATGTTGGAGTTGAGGAAGGAAGGAAGGAAGGAAGGAAGGAAGGAAGGAAGGAAGACCGGCACGCGAGGGTACTCGCTGCCATACAACCACGTCCCCCTCCGCATCTCAGGTGCGCTCCGAAAACGTCACGGCACACCTCCGCGGAGGGTTCAAGTGGAGGAACTAGCCGGTTGCAGCCAAGAGACATTTGACCCAACCACGAACCCGGCAAACCAAACCGCAAAGGCGCCCCCCACAACCGAGCCCACACACACACACACACACACACACACACACACACACACACACACACACACAAAAAAAAAAAAAAAGGCCCCAAACAAAACAAACCCAGGAGCGACGGATAAGTGCCCGAGTGACCGCCGGCACTTGGCAGGCCTGGGAATAGCCGCCGGGGCGCAAAAATCGACCCCAAAGAGCCCTCAGAACGCCGCCACTGAGGCCGAAAGCTGCACAAGAATACTGCACAAGAAGACCCCAAAGAAAAGTTAGCCCGTATGGCAGGCAAAGCTGGGAGGAGCCGGGCCTGCGCACAACCAACAACTTCATTGCTTTGCGTGGGCAGGGGCAGGGGTGCGCAGACTGGCGTGGCTACGGACGTGGACGCCCACCAAGCCATCCTGAACAAAGGCAATGCGGGAGAACTGACAAGGTTTACCGGCAACCGGGAGGGTAACATTTTATTGAGCAGGTGCACGCAGTTGGTGGAGGCGCCAAGCAGGGGGCTAGCGGCTAGCGAGGCACTCCCAGGAGCGCGCCAGAGCGGTGTGGAGACAGCGGAGGTGACACACCAACGGGAGGCAAGCGCAGACTAACTGGGCCTGCAATGAGATGTGACGGTTCGAACACATGGAACAGTGCATGCGATCAAGCGCTAAAAGATGCCACTCCCCAAGCTTGCGGAAGCGCAGCGCAACAACCAGGGAGAGCAACTCAGCAGTGTGAAGCGAGACGGAAGACGTCCAGAGATTGGACCGAGACCCAAGACGCGGAACCCCGGCAGTCAACCCACCCGATGCTGCACCTGTTCGCGGGGCCCAGGTAGGGCGGCGGCTATCAGGGCGAGTAGCATGGCAGACCGTATGGCATGGTGCGCGAGAGCGCGCTCTGTTCCCATCATGGTGTAAACCGGACTGCACAGCACGAGGATAGGACAGGAGGCACAAGGACTGCCCTAGAGGACTTGCACCATGGACAGGGACACCGGTCCGGCGCCGGGACACACGCAGGGCCGAGCCAGCTCTTGCTGGAGTACACTCCAAGAGGGCCTGTTGCCAGCAACAGTCCCAAGATACAGGCAGCCAGCGAAGGCGAAGGCCAAAGCGGAACCCCAAGAAAGACCACGGGAAGCCAGGATGCAGCAGCGCCAGGTGGGAGGCCAGCGGGGGTGTGGCCGGCACAAACGCTGACCCCAAGGAAGGCAACGGACGCCAGGGAACAGCGGTTAAGGACACAGAGACACGGGAACCAACGAAGACACTGGGCAGAGCTGGACCCCAAGGACAAGGAGGACCACCGGAAACCAGGAAACAGCGGCACCCAGTGCAAAAGCCACCAGGGACGTGGCAGGTGCGAATGCTGATCCCAAGAAAGGCACCGGAAGTCAGGGAACTCAAGCTCTGCAAGCCATGCTAAAGACCCAAGCCCAGGGTAACGGCCGAATAAGGAGAACAGGGGGATATCAGACCGCAGGAGCAACAGAAGCACTGCCTTGGAACAAGCCCAGACCTAGGGTTACGAGCCCGAAAAGGGGGTATGGGGCACTTTAGTTGTCAGAAGACAACAACAAAGCACTGCAAACCTGGAACGCGCTTAACCCAAGGGATACAAGCCCGAAGAGGGGGTGTGGGGGGCACTTCAGGCCCAGAAAACGGCAACAGAAGCACTACAAGTACGAACCCCATCAGTCAACCCGGGGCCAGGTAGGGCGGCGGCTACCAGAGTCCCAACATACCCGGAAGCCAGGATGCAGCAGCGCCAGGTGAGAGGCCAGCGGGGGTGTGGCAGGAAGGCAACGGAGGCCATAAAAACAACGATAAAAAAAAAACACAGAGACACGGGAACCAACGAAGACACTGGGCAGAGCTGGACCCCAAGGACAAGGAGGACCACCGGAAACCAGGAAACAGCGGCACCCAGTGCAAAAGCCACCAGGGACGTGGCAGGTGCGAATGCTGATCCCAAGAAAGGCACCGGAAAGTCAGGGAACTCAAGCTCTGCAAGCCATGCTAAAGACCCAAGCCCGAACAGGGGGATATCAGACCGCAGGAGCAACAGAAGCACTGCCTTGGAACAAGCCCAGACCTAGGGTTACGAGCCCGAAAAGGGGGTTTGGGGCACTTTAGTTGTCAGAAGACAACAACAAAGCACTGCAAACCTGGAACGCGCTTAACCCAAGGGATACAAGCCCGAAGAGGGGGTGTGGGGGGCACTTCAGGCCTAGAAAACGGCAACAGAAGCACTACAAGTACGAACCCCATCAGTCAACCCGGGGCCCAGGTAGGGCGGCGGCTACCATCGGCAGACGTATGGCATGCGCGCGAGAGCGCGCTCTGTACCCACCATGGTGTAAACCGGACTGCACAGCACGAGGATAGGACAGGAGGCACAAGGACTGCCCTAGAGGACTTGCACCATGGACAGGGACACCGGCGCCGGGACACACGCAGGGCCGAGTCAGCTCGAGTACATTTCAAGAGGGCCTGTCGCCAGCAAAAGTCCCAAGATACAGGCAGCCAGCGAAGGCGTGGGGGAGTGGCCGGCATAAACACTGACCCCAAGGAAGGCAACGGACGCCAGGGAACAGCGGTTAAGGACACAGAGACACGGGAACCAACGAAGACACTGGGCAGAGCTGGACCCCAAGGACAAGGAGGACCACCGGAAACCAGGAAACAGCGGCACCCAGTGCAAAAGCCACCAGGGACGTGGCAGGTGCGAATGCTGATCCCAAGAAAAGCACCGGAAGTCAGGGAACTCAAGCTCTGCAAGCCATGCTAAAGACCCAAGCCCAGGGTAACGGCCGAGTAAGGAGAACAGGGGGGTATCAGACCCCAGGAGCAACAGAAGCACTGCCTTGGAACAAGCCCAGACCTAGGGTTACGAGCCCGAAAAGGGGGTTTGGGGCACTTTAGTTGTCAGAAGACAACAACAAAGCACTGCAAACCTGGAACGCGCTTAACCCAAGGGATACAAGCCCGAAGAGGGGGTGTGGGGCACTTCAGGCCCAGAAAACGGCAACTTGGAACAAGCCCACTCCCGGCTGACGAGCCCGAAAAGGGTTATGGGGCACTTCAGGTCTCAGAAGCCAGCAACAGAAGCGCTGCAAGCTGGAACAAGCCCAGACCCAGGGTTACGAGCCCGACAAGGGCGAATGGGGCACATGAGGCCCAACAGAAGCCCTTGGAACAAGCCCAAACACAGCATAACGAGCCCGAAAAGGCACAACGGCCCAAGGAGCAAACACCAACAGGGGTAAGGAGCGAACGCGGAGCAACAAGAAGGGACGAAGGACGAAGAAGGGGCAAAGCGACACACCACGCAGGCCAGAGAGCAGAAAGGCAAGAGGAGGCGAAAAGTGCAGCCACGAGTGCCATGCAAGGCAGAGGCAAGAAACAAAACAATGGCAAGTTGACACAGACAAGGTCACGAAGCAAACCGCGAGGCGCAGACAGGGAAAAGGGGGAATGGCACTCTCACTTACGCGCTGCGGTGGAAGGGCGGGTGCAGGGTGCTCATCCAGGGTTAAACCCTGTTAGTGCCGCCTCCGGGGTCCCTGCACCGAGAGAAGGCCCCCCCACCGAACAGCGGCGTAACCCGGAGGGTTGGAGTTGAGGCTTCGGGTACCCTAAGCCCTCTAAACTCTAAACCCTAAGCCCTAAGCCCTAAGCCCTAAACCCTAAACCCTAAGCTTCATTTAATGTAAGGGCTTCGTGGGCTTGGCCTCGGAGACTTTCCGGTTGAGGGTTCCCTGCGTGTTTTGAGGAAGCTCCCCAAAGTCGTAAATAAAACGGAACCCTAAACCCTGCACCTTAAACCTCTACTGTTCTACACAAGGCTTCCCAAGAACTGCGGCAGCGGCTGCATAGTTCTGCTGGATTTAAGGCTGGGAGTTCGGGTCCAGGGATTACCCGCCCCAAAGAGTGGGCCAGTGAAGGGATTCTTCGGGGGCCTTCCGGAAAGACCTGGACGACCTGGCGCGAGAGGGCGTTGCCTGAGCTTCGGGTGTTTCATAGGGTTCAAGGAGACCTGGGGTCTTCGTAAGCAACGCGAAACAGGGTGCCCTAACCACTCAAGGCTGACCTGTTCGATGCCCTAAGCCCTCACTCCGTCTTCGCATTCCCCATTGTTTGTGGCAGGTGTGGCTCGGAGGTAAGGCGGAAAGCGGATGGTGACCATCAAGGAGTGTACAGAGCTTCTGAGGCTTCGGCTTGGATTGAGGGTTTGAGGCTTCAGCTTGGGTGTAGGGCGGTGGAGGGGGCTTGGGAATCTAGGGGTTTAAGTTCAAGTGTTCCGGGCTGAGGGCTGAGGGGTCACAACCAGCCCTAAGCCCACAACCCCTAGACTTTGTAGTCCCAGCAGTCTGTTCTCCTCCTGCCCCAAACCTCACCCCTCCCAAACCTAGGTTGAAACCCAACAGCCGAGACCAGAAATCCCAAATCTTATCCTCCTAAACCCCTAATCTCTTAAACTTTACACTCCTAAACCCCTAAACCCTAATCTCTTAAACTCTACACTCCTAAACCCCTAAACCCCTAACCCTAAGTCTAACTTTAAGTCCCCAAGCGGCTGTTTGCTTGATATGCGCAGTAGACCTTCCCGTCGAAACTCCAAACGGACTCTGCGTTGTTGGTTAGAGGAGCCGCTCCATTCCTTTAGAGGCTTAGGGGTTTAGGGGGGCTTTGGAGTTTTGAAAGGCTTTGGGGGCTTTAGGGCTTCAAACGATTTATGACAGGATTTCGCATCTAGGGTGGTTTTTGAGTCTTTGTTTTTTGGGGGCACTTGCGGTGTTGTGATTGTCTGGAACTCTATTTGGGGGGGGGGGGGGGGTATACATATTCAGACATTATGTCATTATGTCTATGCTAGTATGTATGTATACATAGATATATATATATATATAGAGAGAGAGAGAGAGAGTATGTCTTCTTTTTGAACTATGTATAAGAACTATGTATGCATGTGTGTATATATATATATATGTGTGTGTGTACTGTTTGCAGTACACATAAAATGTTTTAGAAATCATATAGTATAGATCAGAATATGTACTAGGATGTCACACATTATATTCTATTCAAACATTATACACTATATTGCGTATTCTACTTTATACATTCTATGATTTTTGATAAACCTTAATTACCTTAAATTCTCTCTTTATGCGTATATACGTATATGTATATATGTATATATATATATATGTATATATATACATACATACATAATATATATATATATGTCAGATTGCTTTTATCAATTGCGTATGGATACTTTAAGATATTATTTACAACGGGCAGCCCGAGTCCCATCCACTTTGCCTCCGCGCGCTTTCCCCCCAAGGAACGCTGTCCATCCATGACCCCAAAATTTCCCCCAAGCAAACGCAACGCGAAATGGCGCACATGTTATCCACCATGAATTGGAAGAAGCCTTTCGTCGAAGGAACGCAAGTCCCAGCCACAGGTTTCATGTGGGTTGTGGCAACCTTGCGACGCGGGAAAGTTGACCGTTTTGGCCTGAGGAACCTGAAACCCCAATGAATGCAGAGGACTCAGGAAGTTGACGAGGTCCCCCGCAGCATGATTCCCCAATGAACGCCTGGTGTTACAGTTCCCAAAAGCTGCGAATTCGTTGCGAAAGTACGTACATCTCCAAGGAACGCTGAGCCTAAGTACCCCTCTGTACATGATGAGATTACATCCGTGGTCGTCTCCCCCAAGCAAACGCAAGCGGCAGCGACTTTAATATTCCCGCAGTGACTGCAAAGATCCAAACAGACTGGCGGCGACTAGAGCCGTTGGGAGTACAATCTGATATTGTGCTATCTGTCTTCCTTCCTTCCTTCCTTCCTTCCTTCCTTCCTTCCTTCCTTCCTTCCTTCCTTCCTTCCTTCCTTCCTTCCTTCCTTCCTTCCTTCCTTCCTTCCTTGCTTTCCTCCCTCCCTCCCTCCCTCCCTCCTTCCTCCTTTCCCCCTCCGCTGCTTGGTAAGCGTCAGAAAACATCAAAAACAAGAAAACACCAAAAAAATGAAAAGATCCTCAACAAATTGATGTCCTTCCAAAATTGTGCACACCCCACAAAACTAGAAGAGGGATTGCCCGAAAGCATCGATTTGCCGTGCGTTGACTCCATGCAGTTGACTCTTTGCAGCCAAAGTGTATGCGCTTGGACAAATGTATGCACTTACATGGTTGCATCACTGCACTTGTCTGATTTGCGATGGTTTTGGAACCAGCGAATTCGGGGACCATGGTATACTTGCGATGCTTTTGGAACCAGCGAATTCGGGGGCCATGGTTTTCGCGATCATGGTTTTTGCGATGGTTTTGGAAACAGCGATTTCGGGGACCATGGTATGTGCGATGCTTTTGGAAAAAGCGAATTCGGGGACCATGGTATTTGCGATGGTTTTGGAACCAGCGAATTCGGGGACCATGGATTTGCGATGGTTTTGGAAGCAGAGAATTCGGGGACCATGGTTTTCGCGATGGTTTTTGGAACCAGCGAATTCGGGAGGTTTTCGAGGCCCCGGAAGTCGAGTCCCATGATATTTGCGAGGTTTTCGAGGAATTCGAGTCCCACGATATTTGCGAGGTTTTCGAGGCCCCGGATTTCGAGTCCCGCGACATTTGCAAGGGTTTCGAGGAATTTGAGTCCCGCGATATTTGCGATGGTTTATTTGCGATGGTTTCGACACGCAAGCTCCGGGTGTCCGCGGCGGGAATGCTATTTGCGAGGTTTTCAAGTATGTCCGGAATTCCGCTTCCATGCTACTTGCGGTGTTTTCAAGCGCCCAGATGTCCGTTACCATGCTATTTGCAGTGTTTTCAAGCGCCCAGATGTCCGTTACCATGCTATTTGCGGCGTCTTCATGCGCCCAGATGTCCGTTACCATGCTATTTGCGGTGTTTTCAAGCGCCCAGATGTCCGTTACCGTGCTATTTGCGGTGTTTTCAAGCGGCCAGATGTCCGTTACCATGCTATTTGCGGCGTTTTCATGCGCCCAGATGTCCGTTACCGTGCTATTTGCGGTGTTTTCAAGCGCCCAGATGTCCGTTACCATGCTATTTGCGGTGTTTTCAAGCGGCCAGATGTCCGTTACCATGCTATTTGCGGCGTTTTCATGCGCCCAGATGTCCGTTACCGTGCTATTTGCGGTGTTTTCAAGCGCCCAGATGTCCGTTACCATGCTATTTGCGGTGTTTTCAAGCGGCCAGATGTCCGTTACCATGCTATTTGCGGTGTTTTCAAGCGGCCAGATGTCCGTTACCATGCTATTTGCGGTGTTTTCAGACGCCCAGGGCGTCCGCGGCGTACTATACGTCTGTACTACAAAAAGTCGACTTTCCAGCCACGGAAGCTCCGCGTGTGCGCGGCGTACTACGTGAGTACTACAAAAAGTCGACTTTCCAGCCACGGAAGCTCCGGGCGTCCCCGGCGTACTATACGTCTGTATTACAAAAGTCGACTTTCCAGCCACGGAAGCTCCGCGTGTGCGCGGCGTACTACGTTTGTACGACAAAAGTCGATTTTCCAGCCACGGAAACTCCGGGCGCCCCCGGCATACTATACGTCTGTACTACAAAAGTCGACTTTCCAGCTACGGAAGCTCCGCGTGTCCGCGGCGTACTACGTTTGTACTACAAAAAATCGACTTTCCCAGCCACGGAAGCTCCGGGCGTCCCCGGCGTACTATACGTCTGTACTACAAAAGTCGACTTTCCAGCTACGGAAGCTCCGCGTGTCCGCGGCGTACTACGTTTGTACTACAAAAGTCGACTTTCCAGCCACGGAAGCTCCGGGCGTCCCCTGCGTACTACATTTGTACTACAAAACTCGATTTTCCAGCCACGGAAGTCCCCGGCGTACTACGTCTGTACTACACAAGTCGAAAAACAAACGCAAAAAACGCAAAAAACACTACGGTTTTAGCGCCGCGACCACGCGAAAACCCGCAGAGGGGTTACGTTTGCATGACAAGAAACGCAAAAACACGAGGGTTTTGGCACCGCGCCAACGCCGCAACCCGCAGAGGGGTTACGTTTGTTTGTCAAAAAAGGCCAAAACACGATGGTTTTGGCACCGCGCCAACGCCGAAACCCGCAGAGGGTTGTCTGCGGCCACGGAAAAAAGTTCCAAAAACGACGGTTTTAGCGCCGCGACCCGGCGATCACCCGCAGAGGGTTGTCCGCGGACACAAAGAAACGTAAAAAAACGACGGTTTTGGCACCGCGACCACGCCGAAACCCGCAGAGGGTTGTCCGCGCAAATCAAGAAACGTAAAAAAACGACGGTTTTAGCACCGCGACCACGCCGAAACCCGCAGAGGGTTGCAATCCCGATTGGCGATGTCAACCCAGCCCGCCGCCTTAGAAAGAGTAATTTTAATTTAGAAATCTAGGACTGGGTACGAAGGTCTAGTAAATTCTACGTAAATCTAGAAATTTGTATTCACTGATTACTAAACTCTATGCAATTCACTCTATGCACTTCACTTCACTCTATGCACTTCACTCTATGCACTTCACTCTATGCACTTCACTCTATGCACTTCACTCTATGCACTTCACTCCATGCACTTCACTCTATGCACTTCACTCTATGCACTTCAGTCTATGTTGTTGTGTCAGGGGGCTCCGCACGGAAGAACCCTTCGCGATGCTTTCGGGAAAACTCTTAAACGGAGCTTCTTAAGAGAAAAGGCCCTAAAGCTTGAGAAACGCCCTGGCTGCCTTGAACCGCAATGCCCCAAACCCGAAAACCCAAAGCTTGATTTGGGCGACTCCGAGTACTTCGCGCGTTCACTCCCCAAGTTTGCTTGTTTATGGGTTTCGCAGGGGCCTCTAAGACTTTGGGGCCAGATCACGCAAATGTCGGACTGTTGGTTCTTCAAGAAGGCTCCAGCACAGTCATGTCTATGTAGCAGTGGGTAGTTGGGACGCTCTAAAAACAATCACCTGGTTGTTCGGTTGCCCTCTTCCCGCCCAGGCACATGTTGAACACGTACCTCTGGGGCGGGCTCGCGCTGATGGATACCATGATGACCTGAGGCCCTTAAGTCCTAAACCAGCGGACGTTCAAAATGCAGTCTTTCTGCTAGGTCTCTTGCTTTTCTTACGGAGGTGTAGACAACTTTTTTGCAATTGTAGCGGAACTCTCCGTGTTGCCAGGCGTATGTACACCCTCAACGAGTTGGGGGGAGGTGTGTTTTGCACCATACTCGTTTTTCATCTTTGCCTTAGGATGCTCTTCGAGTTTTTGAGTTTTTCAGGGCTGATCGGCTATCCGGCTCTAAGTGTTACAGGTCGATGGAATTTGTTGCTTCAGATGCAAGGCGCCCCAAAATGGCCTACGTAGAACCTGAAGGGCCGAAACCCTCCGCACCCAGAGATAGCCCGAATTCCCCCCCCTTCTAGGATGGCCCTCAAAACCACCTCAACCTGTTTGCTGCTGAACCAGCGTTGGGGCTTGAGAGCCTCCAGGGCTAAGGGTTGAGGGTTTCAGGATTAGGGGGACGGGGGCAGCACAAGTCATTACCCCAACGCACCCCCAAAGCCCAGACAAGTACAGCCGGAGCCACATTCATTCAGGCCCAAATATGTCGGCGGTTCAGTGCTCTAGTTTTGTGCAAGGCTTGTGGCTGTTGAGGCTTGAGCAAAAAGAAAACAAATCGCTGTCCGGGGTGCTGTGTCCAGGAAGCAAGACACTGTCCAATCTTGAACTCCGGCATCGGGGTCGTCGCCAATTATGTCCACCCTCAGAACTCAGAACATGTTGAACAAGCCCTGAAACCTAATGCCTAAGGAGAGCCAGGCGTGACGAGAACAATGCCTAAGCTTCAGAGAATTGGCGGATTGGAAGCACAGCACAGTTGATATAGGGCAGCAGGAGCATTTTCAGTGGCTTCAGCCACCCTAGCAAGGGATGGAACGGCCTAAGCAGGCCAATTGAGAACACCATTCTTCGAGTTCTCTTGGTCTGCACTCATTCAAACACGCAACATCGAATTTTTCCGTAACCCTGTCAACCTTGAACCCTTGAACCGACTTGAACCGACTTGAACCCTTGCACCCTTGAACCCTTGAACCCTTGAACCCTTGAACCCTTGAACCCTTGAACCCTTGAACCCTTGAACCCTTGAACCCTTGAACCCTTGAACCCTTGAACCCTTGACACCCTCACCCTTACGACCCAAGAACGTTAAAACACCTAGACCCAAAAAGAAGCCGCCGCCCCCCTGCCCCACCAAGATCTACTGTACCCCCCCCCCCCTGCCGCACACTGCGCAAAAACTGAAGACCAGGTGCTGCGCAACCACCAAGTCTTGCCCGGTGACCCGCCTGGCTCAGCCGGGGTTTCAAGCCGGGGTCTCAAGCCGGGTGGAGGGGTTAGCGTTTAGGGTTTAGGGTTTGGACAATAACCTCTAAACACCGCACCAGCAAACCCTAAGCCTTCAAGCTGTGGGAGGAAGCTCGTTGAATTCAGCAAATTCAGCTCACCACAGAAGGAGACCCCAGCAATTTGCCCAAGGCTCTTTTCAACTCGCGTCGCCAGGTTACCTGGGTTTCGGTCCCGGGAACGGGGAAGAGGCTTAGGTTACGGGGTTTCGCGACCTCGACCCAAGCTCACAAATCTGCAAAGCCTCAACCCTTACTCCTGCGGTTTCTCATGCTCAGGCTTGGCTGTCTGTTCGAAGCCACTGCCAAAGCCAGAGAAACGCCCCTAAACCCTAAACCCTAAACCCTACACCCTAAACTCATCTTTCTAACAGAAAGGTACGCTGTGGGGCCCCGCAGTTTTGCATGCGTGCTTTCTTGCCGTTTTGGTTTGTCTGCATCACTGTCTGCATGTCATTTTGCTTCTAGGACCGCTGCTGCTTGCTGTTTCTAAACCCTAAACCCTAAACCCTAAACCCTAAACCCTAAACCCTAAACCCTAAACCCTAAACCCATGTTCTGTATGTTCTTATTCATGCGCGGGGCCGGCGGGTGCGGAGGGCATTTTTTGATCCGCCCACCTACCTTCAGTCTGGAAGCCCGCCTCTGCAGCTGCCCCACTACAAGTTAGAAAGGATACGAAGAGCGCATAAAGCTCAGAGACTCAAAACCTTTAACACCGTGATCTTCAATCTTGAGTCGAGATTTTTTTGGTACCAGGGAATATGAATGTGAGATCCTAAACCCTACACCCTTAAGCCCTGCAAACCCTAAAAGTCGGGGTCCCGGACTGTTTAGGGATGTGGCGGCTTTGGTGCGATGGGGTTTGTTCTGGTTTATAAGAATTCAGGGTTTCAGGTTTACGGTTTAGGGTATAGGGTTCCCCTTAGACTGCCATTTTTTCCGCATCCCTATCATGAGAACCACCCCAAGAGCCCCCCAAAGTCGACCGGAACTTCAAAAACAGCCCATTCGGGAGAACTGGCCACAAGCTTGCAGGGCTCTTGGGATGAGCAGGGATCAAGGTTGGTCCATAAAACCCGAACCTGAAGGCCCAAAACCGGAACCCTCAACCCTCAACCCCCCCCCGCCATCTAGGTAGTCCCGTGTAGTCCATAATAGATAGAGAACAGATATATTGGATAATTCTGTTACATCGGTTTGAATTTTCATGTATTTCATATATGAGATGAAGTCCCACAAAAAAAAGGCATTTCCTTGCGTAAAAGGCTCGTTGTTGTGAACGAGTTCCCGCCAATACGAATGAAGCATGAGACGATTTGATGGAGCTCTTCATAAGAAGATGCTTGTAACATGAGCTGTGATTGCGGTGCGTGGAAGACGGCATGTTGGGCCCCACATCGTTTGGAACCTTAAGCTGGGGAATGCCGGCCCCCAGCACTTGATGTTGGGCCCCATACAGCTTAGTGTCTTGGAATATGGAACGTCGGGCCCCAAAACTTGGATTTTGGAATGTGGCATGAGGCCACCCAATGAGTATAGGCTGTGGACTTTATTTAGATTAACTACTGGCTCCGACGCTTCTTGAACTTTTTTTGGAGTTCAAGAGTGAGAAAGCGGAATGTGAAATGCTAGGCCCAAAACTTCTGGGAATTCATGAGGAGGAAACTTCTCGCAATACAATTGCGACTACGGATATTCACAACATTACCACTATGAATAATGCCAATACTACCTATCATACTACGAATTTTAATCATGCGAGCACTAGCGCTCTTCAAATACGAACAATAAGAAAACTACCAAAAACGCATCTGTGCTTACACAAATACTCTATACATTGATTACATGCATTGTAGTCTTGTGGGCCCGGCCCCACCTTTTCGTTTTGGTGCTCATTGAGGCTAAACAAAATTTTCCTCAGTACCCAGAAACTTGTATTCCTTGGTACCCAGAACATTCAAATCTCAAAATGCCATAACGACCCCAAAATACAAAAAAGACGGTGGGGCCAGCACCTACATTCCACAGCTAATTTTTTGAGGCGCTGACATACCAATTCCACAGTCCACAATTCTACTGCTTTGTTGGAGGGAAAGACTGACAGGGCTACATCTATCTAAAGAAGTCATAGAACCTAAACTTTGAATGTGCTAAAAAGGGGGGCACCAGAAGTGTAGAAACTATCGTAAATTATGACGGAACCAGCTGATCGTATCTTGCATGGCATGAAGGCCTACCGGCTACGCACAAGTGTCCACACTTATCCCGCTGCAAGGGTAAAGGGTTCCATGTGCTGAGGGAGCAAAAAAACCGAAAAAAAAAAAAACATCACAAGAAGGGTGAAAAAAGGCGGGGGGGCGGGGGCCCCACAGCGCTCCACTCTCCAGATTTAAGCCCCCCAAAGAAAACGACCTACGGTTGGCAGTTCTAGTCGTTCTGCGGCGTTTGGGGCGTGCCGTGCTTCGGATAAGGGGGCTTTTTCTTTTGTTTTTTCATTTCTTTTTTTTTTTTTGGGGGGGGGGGGGGGGCATGGGGTTTCCAGTGCCAAGTTTAGGGTTAGGGTTTAGGGCTTAGGGTCCCGCAAGCGAGTGAACCTATGGCTGCAACGTCTGCACAGTGATGGCAGCAGGGAGGGTTTAGGGTGCAAGGTGTGGTTTGCTGGGCTTGTAGTTTGCAGTTTAAGCGATTAGGTTTCGCAGAAAATTATGGCATCCTTCCAGAGAGTCGAACAAACACATGTCCACACTAGCTTTGACTATTGGGCTTAGGTTCACAAAATACATCCGAGCATCCGATGTCCAATGTCACGTTCTTGGGCGTGAAGCCGGGAAGATTTGCGACATCTGCGGGCGAGAGAAGACAAGAGGGCAGGGTTTGGAGTGGCCCACTCTATGCTGGGGCGGCTTTGCAGAGGTGTGTGCATGAGTGGGGCGGCGCTGGCGTGGCGTGGCGTGACGTGGCGTGACGTGGCGTGACGTGGCGTGGCCGTGCGCGCGTGCGGCGTGCGTGTGTGTGGGGGTGTGGGTGTGTGGGTGTAGGGGTGTGGGAGTGTGTGGGGAGTGGGACACACCCAGCAGCTCCATTCAGGGGTTAATAGTTAGGTTTGCCACCCAACACCTTCTTGTAGAGTTAAGGGTTGCCGCCCATCCGCATTCAGAGCTTAGGGTCAGGTTTTGTAGGGTTTGCCAGCGTAAAACAAGCTTGCAACTAAGCTACCGACGACTAAGAGTTGCAGGTTGCTGAGCTCCAATCTCCAATGCAGGCACCCAAGTCCAGATTTAACGGGATCAGGGGTGAGGGGTAAGGGCACCTCGACCTCGAACCCGACACTCACGAAACCCACCTGGCAGAATCCAGATGCTGTCGGAGTTGGAGGGCGCCGCCACGTAGTCTCCATTGCTGCCTTCAGGGTCTCAACCCCTGAGCCCGGACTACCCTTTCAGAAAAGCAGGAGTTGCAAGGGGTTTCGGGTAAACCCTTATGGCCGTTGAGCTGAGCATCAGCCCTCTGAGCTTCTATTTCTGCCCGCTTTGCGTTTGGATTTGAGAGGTTCTGTTTGTCTTTTCTTTTTAGGGGGGGGGGGGAGGGGTTCCCCACCACGCTCACCCCATAAACCCTAAGGCGCGAAGCCAAAAGGAA